ACTACTAAGGCATGTAACTTCTACAAATTAGTAGAAGATGCTAACACAAAATTATATCTTGGTTGTAAGAATTTCTCTAGGCTTTTTTTCATTTTGCGTCTCTTCCACTCGAAATGCTTGGGCAAGTGGTCTAACAAATCATTTACCATGTTGTTTGAACTTCTAAATGAGGCATTTCTTGAATTAAACCTTCGAAGTTCAACTCTGAAAATGAAATAGTTTCTTAAATCTTTTGGGTTGGGTTATGAGAAGATTGCAGCTTGTCCAAATGATTATATGTTGTACTGGGGAGATAGGAAGAATCAAAAAGAGTGTCATGTTTGTAGGTTATCAAGATGGGTTTCCATTTCTAATGATGGTAAGAAGAAAAAACTTGCAAAAATCTTGAGATATTTTCCTCTCATTCCAAGGCTCCAACGTTTGTTTATATCATGCAAAACCTCTTGCTTATTGAGATGGCATTATGACAATCGCAATAAGGATGGATTGATGAGACATCCTGTGGACTCACAAGCAAGGAAAGCCATTGATGATAGGTATATAATCATATTTTATCGTGTCCATGATAATTCCAAGCCCAAAAAAATCCAAGTAATGATATTGATGTGTACTTGCAACCCTTAATTGTTGAATCAAAGGAATTGTGGGCAGGTGTTGCCACTTTTGATGTAACATCTCAAGAAACATTTAACATGCGGGCAACATTAATGTGAATAATTAATGACTTGCAAGCAATGGCATTCTTGTTGAGTAGGAGAACTAAAGGTTGTTATGGTTGTCCTCATTGTGGTGAGAAGACGTGTTCAAGATAGTTGAAGAATGGGAAGAAATTATGTTAACTAGGGCACTGAACATGGCTAGAACAAAGGCATTGTTTTAGAAATCAAGCATTAGCTTTTGACGACAGAAAGGAATTCAGAACAACTCTTGATCTTTTGTTTGATATAGAGATATTAAGGCAGCTAAAAGGTCGTGAATTCTTTCATGGAAAGATGCATAAAAGAAGATTTATTTTAAAGTGAAAAAAGGGGAGTCCAGTTATATCATTAGATATACAAGATGAAAAAGGAGAAGATCCCAATGATGGGGATGCATGGAAAAAACAGAGATTTTTTTGAACTCCCATACTAGGAGTTTAACTTAATTCGTCACGTAATTGACTTCATACATACAAAAAAGAATAGGTTAAAACCCCATTTTGGTTCCTTTACTATTATGCGAACTCTCAATTTAATCCCTCAACTTAAAAAATCCCTAATTTGGTCCATGCTATTTACTATTTTAAACCCAATTTGATCCTTTCATTAAATTTTTATTAACGTGGTATGTTAACTAACAACAGGGGCACGCCTTTTTAATAAATAAAATACGTGGAGTTTGACACGTGGCAAAATACATGACTTGGCAAAAAAAATTATCTAAATAATCTCTAAACATAATAAAATGACTGTATTACCCATTTCTTTAACCTCTAAAATCTAAATCCTTACATTTTCTCTTTCCTTTCCCAACACTAGATCTGGGTTCTCTTTCCTCTTCCCTTCCTATAACTTCTACGAACCTACCATCTGAGATCCCAAAGGCGGAGCAAAGAAGCAGAGCCAAGAACTTGGAACCCAACAGGCACTACTGGGTCCCTTTGAACCCAGTAGCTGCTAGGTTCGAAAGCTTTGTTGAGTTCAAACCTAACAATCGTTGGGTTCTTTCGAACCCAGCAACTTTTCTCCTTTTTTCTTCTTAAATATGAAATCTTAAAACAGACTTTGTTTCTTGGATCTTGTTTGGTGAGAGAGAAAACATAATGGTTGATAAAGAACATCTGGGTTTAAGTCTTAGCTTGAGTTTTCCTTAGATTCATTGTTCTTTCTAGCTGAATCCTTCATCGTCTACTCCCCCTAGGTTTTGCGCATGTTCCCATTTTGTACTCATTTTCCCTCTATTTTCCCAAGAAACAAACAGAGCTTCAGAAAGTTTTATTTTTTATCTTTTTATTTTTTGGGTATTAATTTAATACGTTATTCATTCCCTTGAAGAAGATTTTAACAATCATTTTTGCTACCCTTACATAAAAGAGCCATATTCCAATGGATTGGAGTAGATTTTGAGATTTGATTTGTGGTGTTTTTGGATCTGTTGGGCGGCAAGCAATGGGCGACGAACAACTAGATCTGGAAGAGAAAGAGGTGAGGAAAATCAAGTGGAAGAAGATGAATTGATTTGGTGAGGAAAATCGAAGGTTGTTTCAAGTGTTAGGGTTTAGAGTAGTAGAAAGGAAAGGAAAAGGAAGAACCCAGCAAAAAGGAAAAACAAAGGAAGGAAAAAAAAATGAAAATTTTTAAGGTGGTTTCTTGTCATATCATTAATTTTGCCATGCTATACATCCTACATGTTAAAATAATTTTACATGTCATCTTTCTCATGTCAAATAATAGAACACGTAGGCAGGTTTTTAATGGAAGGATCAAATTGGGATTAAAATGGTAAATAGTAGAGGTCAAATTAGGGATTTTTTGAGTTGAGGGAATAAATCGAGGGTCCGTACAATAGTTAAGAAATCAAAATAGGGGTTTAGCCAAAAGAATATTGGTGAGAATTGTGTTTCTACATTTCTAAATGAAAAAGGAAAGTCAAAGGACAATCTTCAAGCAAGGTTGGACTTGGAAGATATTGGTATACGACCTGACTTACAACCGAAAATTAATGCAAGTGGTAGGATAGTTTTGCGACCTGCCCCTTACACATTGTCCCCAGAAAAGAAGGCTTGAC